CACCGCATCGCTGCCGTCGGCCAAGAAGACTTGGACGTGGATACCTTGCCACTTCTCCATGAGAATCGCCGCGTTCCCGAGCCACATGCCCTGGACGAGCTGCTGCGTAAAGGCAAAGATACGCCGACCGAGTGGCACGCGGTGGCCCACGAGGTATAGGAGCACGAAGGCCGGCGAGAGCAGCAAGAAGACGCCGGCGGACCCAGTGATGCCCAGCGCGGCCAAGAACGCAAGGCCGACGACGCTGACGCGGACCATCCGACGCAATCTCAATCTCAACAATGGGATTTGTCCCTGTGAATATGGTTGTTTTCATTTGGATTGCAGAGAATCGCGGTTGTCAGATTTGATTTTAGTATTGGAACAGATGATTGGCGCTGGCAAATGAATTGCGTTCGACCATCTCACCTGTGGCCCTCAACGCCGACAGAGCCAATCCCGGCAGCGCCCCTTGGCGAGATACCTTGGATCATCATCCGAGGAATACATGGTATAGTGGCTGGTATGAACGTCTCCCTTGGCGCTTCCGTCGCCATCGACGTAGCATCAGCGGCGTCATCGCCACGAAGATGATTGCGGAAGATGACCTTTTCGATGATCGAACGCCATGTGCTTCTTATGATGATGATGATGATGATGGCCTCCATACCGGTACTACATGTACAGCAGCAGCGCAACGAAGAGATCAACCTCGCCATGGCTGCTGTCAATCGACCATACTTGTAGCCGATGGTCGAAGGGACCATCGCGAAAGGGCAAAGCTGCTGCGCAAGGAGAACGTAATGGGCTGTACAGGGATCGAGCCTCGGTGCAGCCACACGGCGGCCATCGGTAGCTGCTTTAAGCCATGGACCATCGACTTGGGCTGGTCGTAGTTCTTGATGGTCGGTGGTCGGCCGGTGGGGGCGGCCCATCTTGGTCCGGGTTGCAGTTGCGCGATCTTCTTCGGCCTCGTATCCGGATGACCCAGCGGTTCTGCGGTGGTCATTTCGGATCAAGGGACAAGATGGCCAAGGCGAGCAGCAGCAGCAGCCATCGCCTACCGCTGGTCTTCCTCGCGCTCATCGTCATCGGCCTCGGCAACAAGAGTACGTTCGCCTCCTCGTCTGCATGCCCGCTCATGCTGCTTAGTCTTCCAGAAGCTCCAGACGATCCCGATGCACAATTACCCCAACTTTATCAACCTCCTCTGCACCTTTGTCTACGTACGATCATGACGAGCATAGCAAGTCGACGCATCATGGTCGACCTAGATTCCGCTCAGCTTTGCGTACATCATCCCGATGATCAAGTATGGCAGCGCGATCACCTGGGATCAACAACACATTCCGAAGCGCAAGTTTGCCATCATGGGCGCCCTCGACAGCGTGGCCGGTACGACAGCACCTCGATGCGACGGGCATGTCATGGCCATGGCGTAGGTATCTTGCAGATCTTTGCCGCGACGTACCTCGGCGGGTCGCTGCTCATCTTGCTCGGACAGGCCGCGATTCCCGTCTCGATGGTCATCTCCAAGTTTCTCCTCAAGGCGTCGTACTCCAAGTTCCAGTACTTGGGCGCGCTCATCGTCACGGCCGGGCTCCTCGTCGTCTTGGGACCCTCCATGAAGGCGTCGTCGGGCGGTGAGCACACAGTCATCTGGGCGGCCGTCATGATTGCTAGCTGCATCCCCATGTGTCTTTCGAGCGTCTACAAGGAGATTGCGCTCGGGGAGGCCGAGCTCGACGTCGTGTACCTCAACGGGTGGGTCGCGGTCTTCCAGTTCCTTCTCTCGATCCCGCTGGCGTTCCCCGCGGCCTCGATCAGCAGCCCGCCGGTAGCACCCTCCGATTTGCTCGAGAACCTCTACGATGGCATGAAGTGCTACCTCGGCGAAAACACGATCGTGGGGACTGCCCACCCAGACGACTGCGAGAAGGCGACGCTCTACGTGACCATCTACATGCTCTTCAACGTCCTCTACAACATCCTCATCATTCTCATGCTCAAGTTTGGCTCGGCCAACATTCTCTGGCTCGCCATGACCATCATGGTGCCCCTCGGCAACGTCGCCTTTACGTTTTCGTTCATGCCCGAGCACCAGCCACTGCACACGACCGACATCATTGGCCTCGTCGTCATCATGCTCGGGCTCTTTGTTTACCGGTTCCTGGGCGACCTCCTCGAGGCCCGGGCGCGGGCGCGGGCGCCGTCGCACCTCAAGGAGTCGCTCATGTCGGACTTTTAAGCTGTCGAATGGAATACATATACTTAGTAGCGCGAAGAGGTCGTCGCTAGACCTTGGACGGCGCGGGTATGCACGCGGCCGCGGCTTGCTGCAAGTCCGCGACCGACTGCGGCGACGTCGAGTTCATGCTAATGAGTTCGCCGTGCGCGCTCACGAGGAGCGAGCTGAGACGCTCGTTGTCCTTCTCGAGCATTTGACTCCGGGCTTGGAAGAGGGACGCCATGCTGCCGCTGGCTACATATGCAAGGTGACCTACAGGTGGGACGTCGTTTGCGTACCGGGCGCCGCGCTCGGGTACGCCTCCGAGTCACTCGAGTCGGGCGACGTCGCGGTCGACGGCTGGTCGTCGTCGTCGTCGTCGGCCCATTGCCGAGGTGCCGCGTTGTCTGGGTTGAAGCGCCCACCAAACCAGCGGAAGAGCGGCTTTCGGCAGTGCGGCACGAGCACCTTCTCGATGAGGCCGACGCTCACGAGGACGTTTGCAATGTCGTAGAGCCGGCGGATCTTAGCTACGCCATTCGCAGCATGAGACGCTACAGCCTAGGAACATGCGTACTCTTCAGCACGTTGCCGCCAATTTCGCCACGCGGGTCGTCGCGCTCGATGAGCTCCTTGGCCGCGAGGTCCAGAGGAATGATAATGTGCTCCTTGTCGAGGAAGAGCTTGACAAAGAGCTGGCTGAGCTGCGCGAGCGACTTGCCCCTCCGGCGCGACTTGTAGTCGCCGCCGCTGCACCCGACAAACTCTTCGATGAGTGCTTCGGGCGTCCGCGCATACCGCGCCTAGACGACGCGTGTGGGAGGACGCCAGATGGAGTTAGACGATACCTTCATTTCGTGGATTGTCGTCGGCAGCGACTTGAGACCGTGCCAGTTGTACAGGTTCTTGCGCTTCCGGCTCACAATGTGGATGCTCTCGAGGATATTGACAATGTCGTAGATGCGTCGCCGCTCGACGCCTATACAAGACACATGAGCATGAGCATGGGCAAGAGCGCTTCGCAGGATACCGAGCTTGTTGGCGGCAATGTCCAAGCACACGTCCTGGACGTCGTCGTTGCAGTAGAGGCGAAGAAAGCTAGAGCAGCCACGCGTGACGACCATTATCGTTGGTGAGAAACAACGTACTTTTCACAGAGCAGCCCGAGCGACTTTTCCTTGCGGCTGTACGACGGGTTGGACACCATGTGTAGCTGGTCCTCGAGAGAAAGGCTCATGTCCGACGTGAAGCGGTACTTGGCCGACGTGTCTTCGCGCTCCGGGCTGCGCGCACGCTTCTCGGCGGTCGCGCTGCTGTTCTCGCCCATGAAGCGACTACCGCGGATGTTTTCGTTGATGTACGGCGAGCCATAAGTCATGGTCCCGTCCGCGTCATGGAGCGCACGGGCGGCTTCCAGTGGCGTCATGCTATCGGTCGCACCCAGCGCCTTGGCCGTCTCGCTGCCATTATGAAAGCACGAGAGTGGCTGCAGCACCTTCTTGGCGCAGAGCTTGCCCTTGGGCTTGGCGTCCATGCTGTGTCGCCGCGCCTTCTTGTTCTCGACGTCGTCCATTGCTGGCGCCACCGCCTTCCTCGCCTGCTTCTTCGGTCGGATCTTTCGGACCGTCTTCATGTCGTCCTGCTGCTCCTGTGTCAAGCGCTCTTCCGCTTCCTTGGACGAGTTCATGAAGAGGATCATCATGGTCTCGGCGGCCGCGCAGCGCACGGGGCTCGCATCGCCGCGGGGCTACAGACGCACATCGCGATGAGCCTCGCCCTTCCTCGACCGCATGCAGCTGGGCTTCCTCGTACCTCATGGAGCGTCGCTTCGCTCCGGGACCGCGCGCGGCCTTCCCGCGCTCCTGCAGTCGCTTCGATCTCCATCTTCCTATTGCGTGTCGTCCGCGGTTCGTGGGTTTAGCGGGGTATTTTTCAAGTGACCTGACACAATTTATAGTATCAGCTTCGGCGTCACACTTGGTTTCAGTATGGGATGGCCGCAGGTAAAGATCTCGCCAATCACAGGGCTGCTGGAAGTGGGCCCTCCAATCATCGCTCGCCGCCAGTGCAATACGAACGGCAAGTCACTTGGACGCCCCGTTGTCGCGCGCCAAAAAGCAAGAAACTTCGACCGGCATTGTATTATCAAAAAAATATCGAACCTTCCGTGTATTTTTATTGGGCACCGTCTCTTTCCATACAAAGCGCAAGTGAATCAGGCATGTCTCGAAATAAAAACAAAGAAACCCACGCGCTTCGAGCAACGGTTTCCGGATATTCCGGATACACCACGGGTTTCTCACGCCGTGGCACTGGGGACGCGCGCCATGGCCGTTCGCGTCGGTCGCCCCGAAGATGCCACGTCTTCGACGGCACGTTCGCGCACCGTACGACGAACCATTGCCCTCGAATGTGGTGCCCGAACCAGCCAGATCTGGGTCTGGTACTCCAAACTGGAGACATAAAACCAGAAGATTCTTGGCGCCGCCACGTAACCTACAACTTGGTACCGTACTTCAGACACACGGCCTCCGGCGGCGCAAAGACGAAGGCGCTTTGAAACCGATTCTAGATCGTCGAGCTTCAGAACCCGAGCGGAATAGCACATATCCCTTAGGAGCAGCCTCATTAGCTTTTTTATTATTAGTAAAAGGGATATCGATCGGTCGCAACGATGCACTGTCGGCCGGATCGGCTGCGCAAACCCTGTCCCGCTGGTAATTACCACATGTGTGAATTGATTTTCACGTGGTGTAGATGTTTTATCCGGAATCAACCGGATACGATAGTTACCGCGCCACCGTCGAAGCCGATCGGATCGCAAGCCACGGCCGAGCGCAGACGATGGAGGATGCAGCAAGGGTACGGGACCAAGACGACGAGCATGCATGTCGAGGCTACGGCGGCTCCATGGACCTTGCCATGGCGCTTCCACGCGAAGGAAGCGCATGCTATGGCATGGAGGCGCCGACGGCCACACGATCTATGCATACGATCCATGCTTGCGATGCTGGATCTCTCATGCGAGGCAAGTAGGGGCTCTTTGATAACTCGGATACCAGCTCAGACGAAGAGTACCGGCGCAAGAAGGGCAAGCGGAAGCGACTCACGCAGGCCGACCCGACCCCAAGTAGTCCCGCTCCAGAGACGTGGCAATGTCCTCGATGTACGTACGCCAACAAGGCGCTGGATGGCAGCTGCGAAATGTGCGATACCAAGCGACCATCGACACGGCTTGCGACGAGGACAACGCCGACGCCGATGACGCAGCCTGAGACGACTACCAATACTCGTTCAGGCACACTGGCCAAGGCTACCTCCAAGCGACCTGCACCGGCTCCTGCATCAAAACTGCTAGCGTCGACCGTCAAGAAGAAAGCTTCCTCGGAATGGACATGCAGCATGTGTACGCTCATCAACACCGCCCGGTTGCTCAAGTGCTCTGTCTGTGGCGCCCTGCGCTCGAGCTCGAGCTCGGTGCCATTGCCGGCCATGCCACCGCACCGCCCGAGCGAAACGATCGACAGCAACAGCGATGACGACGACGACGTGGCACCTGCAAAGCCCGCAAGGTCACAGCTCGAGCTACCCAGCAAGCAGCTCTGGAACGACAAGTACACGCCGTTGACGATGGACGAGCTCTGCGTCCACCCGAAAAAGGTCCAAGAGGTCGTTGCATGGCTCCAGCAGCACGCTGTCGAGCGCAAGACGCTCGGGTCCCAGCGACTCCTCTTTCTCTGCGGCCCACCCGGTGTCGGCAAGTCGACCATCGTTCGCGCCGCCGCCGCCTCTCTTCATCTCGACATCAAGCAGTGGAAGGATACGTCGGGCGTGCGGCCGCTGGGTGCATCATCTCGCTCTATCGCGCTCATTGAAGACTTTGCATCGTTTCTCGAGCGCAGCCAGCGCTACGCTAGCCTCTCGTTTGCGAGTAGTGCGTCGCCGTCACAGCAACATGTAATCCTCGTCGAGGAGTGGCCGGCGTTCCTGGACCAGCACCGACACGAGGTCCAGCGACTGCTCCAGCACCGCCTGAACGCACGCGACCATCGGTACCCGATCATCATCATCTACAGCGACGTGCACGAGACCAAAGTGACGCCGGCGTCGCTCGGAGCGGTATTTTCTACGGACGTCGTCGCGTCACCGCTCACGCATACGATCCACTGCAACCCTGTCGCATCCGGTACAGCGTCGCCACTGCACATGCATGGACGAGTGTCGTGCTAGGCATGATGAAGAAGTACCTCGGCCGCATCGCTGCGCGCGAAAACGTGCACGTGTCGAGCTCGCAGCTTTCGGCGATCGTCGAGCAGAGCCATGGCGACCTTCGGCACGCGGTCAACACGCTGCAGTTCCAGCGCAAAGCCGCTTCGTCGTCCAAACCAAAGGAAGACGTCCGCGCCCGCGACTCGTTTGCTTCAGATTTTCACTTGATCGGGCGCGTCTTGCATCCCAAAGGTACATATATACCTGTTCAAAGCGGAGGCAATACGAAGGGATATCTATTGGTATCGCTAGACCACCATGACGACGACGTGCTGCGCGAGTGCACGCTCGAGTCTGCGCACGTGCTCGCGACCGTCCATCACAACTGCATTGACGTCTTCACCGAGATTGAAGACGTATACGCTGCGTTCGAGACGTTTAGCGCCACGGACGTGCTCTTGCGCAGTGCGTACAAGGACCGATCGAATGCCAATGTACGTTGCCACTGTCATCGATGGCTGCGACGGGAGGCCTGCCATGAGGATGAGGAGGATGATGAGGATGATGATGGGGTGGTATCTCGTAGTACTACCACGCGACCCAGCAGCTCGGCAAGACGCTCGTCGAGCGAGCGATTCGCGTGGCCAACGCGCACCCTGCGCCGCACGCGTTTCGCCCGATTGCGCGCCCGACCACGTACGCTGTCGACGCCGCGTCGCGCCACGTGCGTGCACAGGCGCAGGCGGCGTTTGCGTCGCGCCACACGGGTACCCATAACGCTTTGCCCGTCTCGCACTGACGCGCTGTCGTGGACAGGTGCAGCGTTGCACCGCGACATTGTGCCCTACCAGCGCTGGCTCAGCCATGGACGGTCCGTGGCCATCGACGCGTCGGCGCTTGAGACAGTCGACGACGACGACATTATTGTGGACAGTGATATGGACGGCACGTAGTCGAGCGCAGGATCGGTAATCGCATCATCTTCGTCTCGTGCAACGTCGGTATGTGTACATTGCACGACGCGGGCGGGCACAGGCAAGCACTGCGTATGATGCTGGCGTCACTCGGAGCGCATGAAGCTAATCGGCCATCGTGTCCCTTCGATATGCATTCTTGTTTTGTTCTGGTTGTCAAGATATCATGGCGCTCCGCAGATGGCGGCGCCCCGCTTCTGATTCGGGGCGCGCGACTGACACGGACGCGGGCTGCCCCGTCACGCAGACAGCCGCGCGTGGGACGATTGACACCGTGTCAAGGCCATTGATTACTACAACGCGAGATAAGTGGCAAGATTAAATAGGGCTTAAATAAGGCATCGGCGACTCCTAGACGCCGTCAAAGTTGACCTCCGTGTACACGCGCCTCCGGGCGGGGGCGTCGCGGCAGTCGAGGTCGTGGAGGCGGCGGGCTTTGAGCGGCGACCCGGCGTGGGACGGCGTCGGCACCACAACTTTGGACTGGATGATGCTAAAGGTCGTGCGTCGCAGGGCGCCGGGCGGTGGCTGGAGCACAATGCACTCGGAGCCTGCTGCCCGCTTGACGCCGACACTGCAATCGTGCTTCCACTCGAGAAAGGTCTTGAGCTGCGTGTCAATCTTGGGCCGAAGGAGGCACACGTCGGCGTGGGCTTCGGCCGACTGGACGGCCATGAGCTTTTGGAGAAACGTGTTGAGGCTCGAGAGCTTCTCGCCCGCGACAGGGTCGAGACACGCTTTGAGGCCAATGAGGAGCGGCGCGAGCCAGCACTCTTGCGCGCACGTCGACGACGCCGCGAGCGCGACGAGGTTGTCGTAGAGCGCCACAAAGTCGGCGTGGAGCTTGTAGACGTACCAGAGACCGCGCTCACTCGACTTGACGCAGACCACGTAGCGCTCCTGCGTGCCGCCGATGCACGACGTGACCGACGCGAGGATGCCTTTCATCTTGTGGAGGAGCACACCCATGAAGCGCGATGACGCAAATATTCGACTGCCCAGGTTCAAGTCTCCAGCTGTCTCGAGCACACGAAATAGTGTGCGATGAAATACTGTGCTCGAATTTCGGTGCTCACCGACTCGACTCGACCCTGGTAGTAGCGTCTCGGAAGTAGATATGTGTACGAGCGACAGCGCCGATCGCAAACACGACAAGGCCGGCAACGTCGCCGGACGGACGCTGCAAGGCGTGGTCATGCGGCCGGTCGCGCAGTGAGCAGCCAACGTCGACGTCCCACAAGTGCAACGTACGCGGAGCGTTCGGCATCAGACGATGACGACGCGAATAGGCATCATAGGTCCACATTCAGGAAGCGGCGCGGGGCTGCGCGCGCAGACAGCCGATAAGCGAGGAGCGAAGGGCGACTTTCGATGTACACTAATTCCGACCGGTCAGCATTTGTAAACCGAACACCATTTGCGACGTGATGGCAGGTGATAGAACCGTGACCAATATTAAAAACAAGACGAGCGAATTTAATACATTTCCGAGTCGGTCCATAGAAAGCACAAGACGTTTTTTTAACAATGCCGCGAGCTGAGTTATCCCAAGCCCTACGTGGCGAAAAAGGCATAGTCATCCCACCCCCAGTCGTTTCCCGCCCGTTGATTGGCTAATCCCTGGGTCAGGTCGCCAACCACTCAGATCGCACATGTCAATTTGACTGAACTTATTGCCACGTCCGCGCGACCGCCCCTTCCTCTCTAGTACGTTGCTGGGTAACTGGGAAGAAGACCAGTCGTAGCATCCTGCACAGCGTCGAGCAGACAAGCAGCCGCATGGACGCTGGACGCAGCAATTGGACCCCGTGGTATTTTTATTCCTGTCAAGCTCGCGTCTTGTATGGGTGTTTAAATGTATTTCGAAGGGCCATCTGCCGCGCGACGCATCCAAGTTGTCAGCCAGAGACCGACCACGAGTCCTCTTGTTGAAGTTGGGCAGATTCGCCTGCAGTCGTTTCGACAAGTCCCAATGCGCACGTTTTCTGGCACACTGCAGCTGAAACCGACGCCAATCTGATCCGTTGGCCATGTGGACGCACACCACAGCACACCACAGCCTTAGCTGGCATTGGCATTGGGTGCTTCGTCACTTGGTATTGCCCTTGCAGCAGGCGTCAAGTACATGCCAAATAAGAGCACCGTTACGTGCCCAACGTTGCGTATACGGCGAGCGCGCACCATTTCCATCCAGGTTGCTCGACGCTCGCAAGGAGCTTGGGATGGTTCTTGCAGCATTTAGACGAAGCCGCGTGCGGTGGCGACAAAGACGATGGCCGCGTTCGTGTGGGTGGCAAGGGGCGCGATGGGTGCCGCGACGAAGCGGCGGCTTCTTCGTGGTTGGGACGACACCCGGCAACGACGATGGCGGATCGCCTTGTTGGAGGTACCGGTACACATGTTGCAAGTGGATGGCGTCACCGCTCATGCCAGTTGTACGGAGATATTGTCATACTCGTAGAGGTCGGCTCAGTCGCGAGCCTGAAGGACCGGGGATGCAGCGACGCGTCGGCCTTGTCAGCCTGCCGATAGCCAACTGCAAAGGGATAGATATCACGCGCGATGTATTGGCGCTGCTCTTTCTATCGCGTCATTAGAATGGACGTCGTTTGTCCAAGTGAGCATTTTAGTACGACCAGTGCTGCAAACGACAAGGGCTGGAAGCATTGTCGTGCATCAGAGATGTCGCTCCAACGACCAAGCTCAGCGACAAGCTTCCGAGTTGCTCGGTCGTTGATCGTGAACGCGTGTGACGCATCCCGATCAGACGTCACGTCCCGAGATCTTGACGCCAACCGAAGCGCCCCGAACGTACTCGCCACTCGTTGGCCTTGGAACAGCGCCGGCGCGAGCTGCGCGAAGAGGATCGCGAAGTGCGAATTCGCTTATAAAGTACACGGCTGCTGCAATGCTCACATTCGCGTCCACCGGTGGTGATCTTCGCACTTCCTCGTGCAAGAGACATTGCGTGCGTGGTCATAGTATCCAAACTCGCATCGAAAGGGCTCCTCCAGGCCTATCAACGAGTCCACAGACGCTGCACTCAGCCACAACGACATGCCAGTCCAACGACATTTTGGCTCACGGCAAAGGTCTCTTCATCAACCTCTGGGACGCCCTCCAAGCAGCCAACGTCAGGCACCGAGTTAACGATCGCTGGTCCGCTGCGTGCGCAATGGCGACGGTCGCCCGTGTGCAATTGTTGATTGCACTACAAGTTGCGTTACTTTCTAAGCGAATTCCAGCTTGACACACCTGCATCGGCGCAGTTTTGGCGCAGTCACTGGCCAACATGCACCCTTTGACACCGAGCGCGACGCCGACGGCCGAGCACGCGTCGATGGCCGACGAACCGATGCTTCCGCCGTCATCGACGGACCTTGAGGGTGCGTACAACGACCTCTCGCTGCTGCAAAAGGTGTTTGTCGTGCTGCGGCCAAACTGGGCGACGAACGCCAAGGCGCATTTGACGCTTCAAGAAGTCTCCGGGTCGCTCGGCGACCTCGGCACGTTCCTGCCGCTCGTGACGGCGCTCGCAGTCACGCACCAGATTGCGTTTGGCCCGACGCTCTTCTTTGCCGGCGTCTTTACGCTCGGTCTCTCGACGTACTTTGACGTGCCGATCCCGGTGCAGCCAATGAAGTCGATCTCGGCGATTGCGCTCGCCGAAAAGTATTCGCAGGAGCAAATTGCTGCGTCGGGGATCCTCATCGCTGCGATCCTCTTCTTTCTCTCGGTGACCAACCTCATCTCGGTCGTCGGGCGACTCGTGCCCTTCGCGCTTGTCCGTGGCATCCAGCTCGGCGTCGGCCTCTCGCTGCTCATGAGCGGCGTCAAGAGCTCGTACACGCACGTGACGACGCTCTCGCTCAACAAAACGACCAAGTCGATCGTCGTGAAGCGCAGTACGACGGACTTGGAGTGGGTTGGCGCCGACAGCATCGTCGTCTCGCTCGTCCTCATCACGCTCTGCCTCTCGTGCATGCACAAGAAGCGCATCCCGACTGCCATTCTCGTCTTCCTCTACGGCGTCATCGTCGCGATTGTTGTCTACATCCAGAAGAAGGACGAGCTGCTCTTGCCGCCACTCACACTCGGACCGGACTTCAGCCACATGCCATCGTGGCCGTCGGCCGATGATTTTCAAACCGCCTTTCTCAAGATGGTGCTCCCGCAATTGCCTCTGACGCTGCTCAACTCTGTGATCGCGCTCGAGCAGCTCGCGGCCGACCTCTTCCCGCACAAGCACGTACCCGCGAGCTCGCGCCGCATCTGCTTTAGCATCGGCGTCGGTGATTTCGTGTTTTGCATGCTCGGCATGCTGCCCATGTGCCATGGCGCGGGCGGTCTCGCATCGCAATATGCCTTTGGAGCGCGGAGCAGCGTCTCGATGATGCTGCTTGGCACTTTCAAGCTCGTGGTCGCGCTCCTCTTTGGCTCGACGCTCATGCTCTTGCTCCGCGACGGGATCTTCCCGTCCTGCGTCATTGGCGTCCTTGTCATTTTTGCGGGGGTCCACCTCTCGATCGTCGGCGTCGACATTGACACCAAGAAGAACAAGGGCGACCTCGTCGTGCTCTTGATGACGGCCGCGACGTCCCTCGCGCTCGACACCGGCACCGCCTTCCTCGTCGGCGCGTTTACTTACATAGTCTTGCGCTTTGCAGTCCGCGATCCGACGGCGTACTACAAAGTGCGCACGGAGGACGTGGCGTGACCGCGTCGCGGGTAGGGTTCCCGGTAGTTACGCCAGTGCCATTTGCAAGACCTAACGATAGATGCTCCAAGCCATCGACATCATAGCACATCGCTCTGTTGGACTCGCTCAGTAGACGGAACGGGTTGCAGTCTGATGCACTAGGGGTAGGGTCCGTACTTGGCGCCAACCGCCAAGATACTGCAGTGCCTGCACTTGTCACTCCATCGCATGGCAAGAGACATGGTCAGGCGCAAGAGATAAGGGGGTGACCCGTTACGTGCTGACCGGCGTCGTTGCATAGTAGTGCTCGTACAAGCTCAGCTCGTCACTCAAGTGCGTCGGGTCGAGGCGCAACGCTGCGCAGAGCATCGTCGTCGAGTCTTCTACTGCACACAACGCGGTCGGTCTACCCGCTATGAGCAGACATCCGACGTGGTGTGTCTTACGCGGACGTGGTGGGCGGTTTGGGGGCTGCCTTGGCCGCCTTGGCGCTGGGCGATTGAAACACGGACGACGACCGGACGGCGCTCGGGCACGCTCGATGCATTTTGCGGAACGAGAGAAGAAACTTGCGGTCGTACGTGCGCTTGCCGCTGGCGACCAGCGCTGCATCGTCAGCAAGCGGCTCTGGAGTCGATATCGTTGGTGATGCTACCGTGGGTTTATGGGTCGGCGCTTGCGCTTGCGGAGCTGGCGAGGCGGGTGCTGTCACGTTGGTCGTCGGGGCTATGGGTGATGGCTCGTCCGCCACCTGCACGTCGCGGGCGAGCTTGGCTTGTGTGAGTGCGATGAAGCAACTTTGGCAATAGAACGAGCCTTGCCAATCGCGGATCGTCGCATTGCCATTCTTGCACGCAGTGCACAAGGACACGGACGCCGGTGGTGCGACGTGGATGTCAACAAGCACGTCGTCGTCGTCGTCATTGTCGGCGTCTTCATCGTCGTCCTCATCGTTGTAGTAGGCGTCGTAGCATGGTTGGCAGTACATATTGTTGTCGTTCGGGTCCACAACGAGCTCGGTCGTCGCAAACGACTGCGTGCACGTCGCGCACGTGTTGGTGGTCGCACAGCGGTGGCAGGGACCGTGAAAACGCTGCGCAACACCACAGAGAGGGCACGCGAGCACCTGCATCGACTGCATTGCAACCGCAATCGCTGCAACCGCAGAGCGCAGCGAGGCGTCGCTCATGACGCCGCACGTCGTCGCGACCTCGAGCGCGTACTCGTAGTAATCGGTGGCCTCGCCGAGATCGAGCACGGCGTCGCCCAAGTTCTTGCTCACGACGAACATGAGCGCATGGTGCTGCGTGGCGTACGCCGTCTTGAGGAGGCTGCGCCAGAGCGCGACGGCGCCATCGCCGTCACGCGCTTCGTACCGCGCACGGGCTTCGAGGAGCGTCGTTGCCACCGTCGCCTCGTTGTCCATCGTCCAACTTGAGAAGCGCTCTTGATTGGCCCGTTTTCAGGATTTCGATTTTACCGACAAACGATTGGCCAAAATTCCATCCCGGTCGCAACCTCCAGGCACCAAGCGAGGCAGCAGCAGGCAAGGGTAGCAGGCTGCCTACCCAACGGTACTCTCGCTACCTACGGACGTTGACATGCCAGCGGCAGCCAGGTGAAGAGCCGCATCACGATACACCTAGAATGCCTGGTCTCTGTGCCCTTGTGGCTGTAAGTGCTGAAGTGCCAAGAACACCTCGCACGCCTGCTGCCGGTACCACTACGTAGCTGTCGGAGCTACCTCAGAGCGTCTTCAAGGTGAGCCACCTCCATCGAGCTCATTCGCACCTCGACGCATCCAAAGCCAAGAGTCAACGTCTCGTGCGATGTGTTGCCTCGACGACAAGCCCGCACGCAGCGACAGACGTAGCAACGTACAACTAGAAGATAGTACTACGGTAGAGGGCGTTGGCGGACGCTGATAAAAAGCCATCACTGTCACGTTCACGGACGCGCTTCCGTGCACCTCCGAGTGCCACGTCATACCCCTAACCCTCATCCCCGTCAAAACTCTCAAAACGAGACATCCTAGACTGGCCGGCAGACATGAAGGAAGCGCCGTGCGGCGTTGCGTGCAGCGACCTCGAGAGGCAGGGCCGCGGTGAGCCCACGCCACCCCTCAACGCTTTCCCGAGGGCATGTCATCGTGACACGGGACGACCAAGGACACTGCTGTACTGAGATGAAGGCAACTGTTCATTCCTTTACAAGCAAACACGCGGTGGCCGGCCACTTAGGACGACCGGCGCTTGCTTCGCGACCGACTGCGCTTCTTGGCCTTCTTGGCCTGTTTCTTCGACTTCTTCTTCGAGCTCTTCTTGTGGCGCTTTCGACTCGACGCCGACGGACTCCGTGACGACGACGACGTCGACGACGACCGCTTGCGTCGCTTGCGATCGCGCGACCGGCTCGCACGCACCTCGCCCTCTAAACATCAAGGTCATCCTCCAGTGCTATGTCGACAGATGCTACCTTCAGCATCGAGGAGCTTGCGCGTCTTGAGCACCTGCTGCATCTTGGCGCGCAGCGTCGTCATGTACGCGTCAAACGCGGCTTTGGCGTCGGCGTCCGAACCCATGGCGCGGTACCGGCTGCGGCCTTCAACGAGTCGCCGGGCGTCGTCCCATGGTACGTCCAAATGGTCCGAGCGAAAGAAGAATTCCGTGAGGAGGTCTGTGAAGTCATCCAACTTCTGCTTCTTCGCGGCCGCAACCCGCTCGGCGCGTTCGACTTCGGCGCGGTGCGTCGAGCTAAACCAGTCGAGGACGCTCTCGGGCACGGTGGCCTCGGAGAGGAGCTGGCGGTAAAACGTCCCACGCGGGTCGTCGCCCACGAGCGGCTCGATCGTGTGCTGAAGCTGCTCCAAGCAGTCGCGCAAGGTCGTCTTGTGCTGCATGCGGAAGCCGTTGCGCTCGAGCAGCGTGTGCAGCCACTGCCTACGGCCCCGCATCGAACCCGATCAGCGACCGCATTTTTCATTTGCAAAAGAATCAGCGAAAAGCATACCGTTCGTCGCGGACGGTCGCGTGCCACTTGTCCATGGTCATCTCAAACACGTCGCGGGCGAGGATCGTGTTGGCTTGGCGCAGCGCCACAAACGTCTCGTTGACTTCCAGGCGCTCAAGGCAGTCGCGCCAGCGCATCTGGAGCGTGATCCGCTTGTGCGCAATCTAGTTGCAAATCAGATTGTCGGGGTTGTGCAGCACACTGTGTAGCGTACCTCGTCCTGCAGATAGGCGCGGAAGGCGGCCGCGAGCGCGTCTTCCGTCTCCCGCGCCTTGATGCGCGCGAGCCGCTTGGCCTCGGCCGCCGCCTTCTTGAGCGTGTCGAGGTACTCGAAGAAGAAGTCCTCGAGGTCGCGCTTGGCGACGCCCAGCCCCAGAATGGCCTCGTCCTTGAAGACAACGTCGCGGACCACGACCCAGCGCGACTCGGCCGAGATCGCGAGCTCGGGCGACGCGTAGTAGGCAAGGATCGTCGCCTTGTGCTCGTCGCGCTTCTTCCGGGCGTACTCGCGCTCGCTGCGGGCCATGTCGTCGAGGAAGGTGAGGAAGAGCTCGCGGCGCTCGTCGTCGTCGGCTACCGCCTTGAAGCGGTCGTCGGTAGTGAGACCAAAGTCGTCGGTCGTCGCTTCGTGCCAGCGCGTGTGCACCGAGATCTTCTTGCAGGACGCGAGAAGCTTGAGAAAGTCCTCGCGCGCGACCTTTTGCTGGCGGCGCCGAGCCAGATCGAGCTCCTTCGTCAGCTGCGTGAGGAACTCCGAGTACGCTTGCTTCTTCTCGCCATTCGTGGGGAGGGCGTACCACGCCGGCTCGTCCGCAATGAGTCGCTGCGCGTCGCCCCACTTCATCTTGGGCGTGATCGGCAGCGTCTTGAGCATCACCTTGAACGCCGCCACTTGGTCGGCTTTGGACATGGCAGCGTACTTGGCGATGTCGTCTTCGTCGTCTGACTTCGTTGCTGTCGTCGGCTTGGTGGCCACCTCGACGGCTGCGTCGGTTGCCGTCGCCGTTGTCGCACCGTCCGTCGTGGCTTCAATGGCGGTCACAGTCGCTGGCGCCTCTTCGATGGGAGTCTCATCGGGCGTCATGTCCATGGGCTCGCTGTTTGTCGGCGACGCGGTCGCGTTGTCATTGAAGCGGAGCCGGACCGCGGCCCGCGCCTTGTAGATGCGGTACTCCTCGGGCTCGTCCCAGACGCACTGCTTCGTGCCCGAGTGGTAGAAGTACGGCTTGCCGCTTGCCGCGTCCATGTACTCGGACCACGGGCACGTGGCCGCCACCTGTGGGTTAGCCATGGATGGAACCTTCATGAGCGTGGATGGCACATACCCCGACAGAGCCATGACGAATGGTCGAGTTTCATCACCGCTGGTCCGAAATCCGAACTTTCCCGGACAAGTGCGATCGCAGGCGGGTCGTTCGCTGTGTTTAGCGTGCGTTTTACTGTGTTATTTCCGAAATAGCCGTCTTTAACGCCTCCAAACACACTAAAACGCAGACGTTGGACCGTTTAAACCGAAACGCGAACCTAATCGAGCGCGGATCTTGTCGAACGTTGTGGGAAGCGTCGCGAGCCAGGATGGGCACGTTGTGGAGCTGGCCGACGCCGCCTGGCCACGCGCCGCCTGTCGAAGCCGCCACGGCGCCATGCACCACCGGCGATCTTCTGTTGTGCCGAGCGCTCGTGCACAATGCGCGCATGATGCTGGACCTCAACCCGGTGCTCGCAACCGGTATTGCGACGACGACTGTCTCGGGGATCTTTGCCACAAAGAAGCGGACGCTGCCAGGTACCTACTACAAGCGCATGCCAAGGCCATGACCTCATGGTATGGCTTGTCAGCGTGGACTAGGTAGGCGGGATGGCGATGCATACAATCCTCCCTTGAGCCACGTAGCGTCCACGTGCTCGTGCGCCGCGACGACAGTGTCCACGTCCTCGTCTGCAGCCACGAGAGCATCCGCCTCGAGCCGCTCGCCGACTTTATCGCTGCGCATTCGCATAGCCCACTCAATCGTGTACGCGCTGCGACAACTCGTCCGCGTGTTCACTTTGGATCTAGTTTGCGTGGCGACACCTCACCGGAGCAGTGCCACCGACAGACCTCGAGACGCTGCATAACCTCATCGACGACCTATTGCCGCTTCTGCCCCTCGCGTGGCACGACGCCAGCGCCCCGTCGCTTCCATCGAGCATCCGCACGGTCGTCCAGCGCATGTGGAGTCTTCTCCGGCAGAGCGTGCTCGCGATCGCACCGGCCGAAGAAGACATGCTCCGATATGCATTTCGCAACCACGACGGCGACTGCTTGGGCTGGTACGACGCTATCGACGTGGTGATCTCGAGGCCACGTGCCCGTAGGCTGTTTGTCGAGGACGTGGCCAAGCTCGCGCCCGAGATTGAGGCCATGGGCATCTTCAAGGCCGGCACGCCGTGGGTCGACGACCTCCGCGCGGTCCTCTCGCACCTGCCGCCCGAAGGCTCGTTTGTCGATGGCGAGAGTCTCCGCTTCACCGCGTCCGACCTCGTCGTCGCAGCCAAAAGGGTGCGACGACATCCCGTCAACACCCCACGTGATGACGCGATCGTAGGTGCCGCGGCAGCACATTTCCGCCGAGTACGACGTCACGCTCTACGGTAGCGCGGCGTTCGCCGCCGCCTTCTACGAACGCGGTCGACTCCTCTTTCCCGAGCAGCTGCTGCCGTCCGGTGCGCCCAAGCCGATTGTCCCTTCTGCCTTTTCCCAGGCGTGGCTTGCATCAGTCGCGCCGCGCCGGCTGTGCCAAGGCGAAGCGCCGGTCCGCGAGCTGTCCAAGGACGTCTTTACCTGGCTCGTCCCCAACCTCTGGAGCGACCAAGTTGTGCTCCAGCCCTCATAGAAGTAAATCACACGTGGCAAAACGTTATGCAAGAACGACGACAGGAAGGTGTCATCGGGCAGCGACTCTAGTCCTTCTTGGCCTTGCTTTGGTCGGCCTGCGACGCGAGGTGGCCGAGGGCTTGGTGGCCAAAGAAGAGCGTGACGACCGTGAGGATCGCGAGGTACCCGAGCGTCGCAAACATCGTGAGCTGGAGCCAGTAGACGACGAAGAGACCGAGGATCGACGCCATGGACGCGATGAACCCGAGCGCAAAGAGGGCTTGGACGCCCGACGGGAACTTGGAGAGCTTGGCGCCAAAGCCGAGGAGGAAGAGCACAAAGCCGCCGAGGGGCGATACGACGATGAGCGTGAAGAGGTTGGAGACAACGAGGCTCGGGCGCGAGTCTTGCGCGCGCATGACGTGCTCAATCTCAGGCAGCGCGGTGAGCGTCACGTCGCTTTCGTGGAGGAGGGGCTTGGCGTAGAGCGGCGAGAGCGGCTCGATGGGCGCCGCGCCAAGCGTGAGATCGACCGACCCGAGGTCCCACACGATCGCATTCTATGACAGACGTGAGTACTAGGTGGTGCCACGTGGCAGGCGTACCTCGAACGTCGTGTCGCCAAGGATGAGCTGGACCGCGTGGACGCCCGAGAGGTACGAGAACTTCTTGCTCTCGGCGCCAATCTGGACCGACACTGAGAGCTTCTTCTTGTCGGCCGACGCCAAGAGCACAAACATCGTGTCGACAGCGCCTTGCGTGAAGCGCAAGAACGCCTGGTGCGCCAGAAGCGGCGTCTTGCCACCCTTGGCCTTCAAGCTGACCTCGACCGAGAACGTGTCGCCCGACGCCGACACGAGCTGCGGCACCGACTTGAGCTTCTCGCCTTGCTTGAGTGGTTTGCCCTGCACGAGGGCCGATGCGACCTCGACCTCGGTCGTCAGCGTCGCATGGAGCACCTTGCTCTTCTTCCCATCGAGCACCTGGAGCTTGTAGAGGCCCGGCGCGGCCTTGGCCTTGGGCAGGACAAAGGTAAACGTATCCGAGTCGGCGACCGGCGTGAGCTTGAGATCCGCGAGGATCGTTTCCTGCGCAGCGTTCTTGAGCGTCTTGAGAAGCGGCGCCTCGGCGCCGAGCACCGTGAACGTGACATCCTGGCCACCGCGCGTCACGGGGTTCGCGAGCTCCATGCTCGCAACCATCGCGAGACACAGGCAGAGGAAGAGCGCGACCGACGACCCCATCATCATGTGAGCTCGACGAAGCGGATCAAGTTTTCGACCACAAGTTGACGTGGCAGCTTCTGGCTTCACATACACCCCCGCTTCTTATAACCTCCCACATTCAATAATATCATGGAAGGGTCCATAACCCCCAGCATTAAATACGTACAATTGCCTTTGAAAGGTAATGCGAAAAGCGCGGGAACGGCCACGTGGAACCACCCAGCACAGGCGCCAGCATTCGCTTCGTGGACACAAGACGCATGCTACCACCACTACCAATATGACAATATTGTACACTTACTGCCCTACGAAGTATGTATAACCTGTCCTATCGTCGTGATAGCCGGCACTGCCGCTGCTCTCAACTCCAACGTGAGTCCGATCTCTTCCTCATATAGGCTGCAACCGGTCCACGAGACGCTAGACAATATGTTGTGCCCTGCTTATGGCAGCGTGGCCGATGCCCACGGCGACACCGAGCCCGCTACAGTGCACCAGCCAGCGCCAGCGAGCCCACTAACTGTCGAGCCAGTGCGCTGTCTCGACGTAGCACTTGTGCTCCAGTCTCGAGTTATCTTGGCTACACCGGTTCACACTCTCGAGCTCAACTGACGGTGTCAGTGGGGCCTGAGCGCAACAGCGTGCAGAGCTCGACATGGCGGAAGCGAGGACGACCAACTTGAAGCCATTTGTCGGGTCGCGACAAAGGGTGGCACTCGTCGAGGACAAGTACACTGCGTCTAGTAGTGTTAATATATGTAGAGCGATCTAGTACATGCTATCTAGTCGGTGGCGCGGGCGATGCGAGCGTCGTAGACGGCTGCCAACGGTCCATTTGCCCGGCGATGGCATCAAGTCAGTGCGCCCGAACTTAGCGCGCACATGTGCGCATTTAAGCACCCCCCGGGTGAATTCTCTGCATTTTGGCCAATGACGGGCGGCAAATCTTCCATTTTGGCCAATGGAAAGTGGCGTTGGGGAGGGGGTCGTTTCATTTTGTGTTTTTTGGCGTGTGGGGTTTTTCGACCGAAAACCTTTGAACCAAACGGAGCCGTCCCGCTTCCCCTCGCCCGCCCACCCTCGACGACCATCTGCCGTCGACGAGACCTGCGGACCGAGAGCGCTTCACGAGACGTCCGATCACTACCTCTGTGCCCCGCTGCCGTGCTTGCTGCGACTCGTACCTTCCGAACGAGCCCCGCCACTGCTGCCCAGTCACCGTCACTTCGATTTGCGGGCCCCATCCAACGTGCGCAAACCAACTCGCTGCACGTCGACGCCCTCGGTACGTCTTCTTTGCATAAATACAAGCATGGCCCGGACCTCGCGCCGGCCGTGCGCGCCGGCCAAACGGGGTTTGTGGACCATGGCCTTTTTCCAGCGGGCCCACCCACCCTATGGCCGGCGCCGATCTTTTGCTTTGCGCATGATGCTCATGCTGCATGCGCGTAGAGTGATTGATCTACATTGAGCCATTGCTTGCTGCATTCGATTGCCGCCATGAACACGGTACGATGACGACCGCCATGCGCCAATGCGCTCATCGCCGCCGGTAGCAACTTATGAACTCGGGCTTTGAGAACGGCCTCGGGTCGCTCAACAACGCCACACCGACCTTGGACGAGAACACGACGCTGTCGACCAACGCCGACGAGTGGCGCAACAAGGAGGCGGACCGCAGCGCCCGCCAGCACATTGCGCGCATCATGTACGCCGATCGCGTCCTCGACGACGACGTCGCTCACACTGCTGTAGCTTGAGCCTCATCATGAAGAGCGCCAACCGTCCAGTCACAAACAACTACAACCCGCGGGAAATAGCGCGGCGCCTCGAACACACGCTGTACATGAACTCGGCGTCGCGCGACGAGTACAGCAACCTGTCGACGCTCAAGGTCCGACTGCAGCGCGCGCTCGACAACTCGCGACGAAGGCAGCAAGCCCAGCAGGCTGCCGCGTCGTCGACGCCTGCCGAGACGCCGGCGGCACCGGTCCCGGCCAGCGCCAAGCCCAACACTTCAGCCGCTGGCATTACAAGCTCACAGGCCCAAGTGATGCAAAAGGTCGCACAAGCGCAGATGCAAGCCCAAGCGCAGCTGCACCTACAGGCACAGATGCAGCTCCTTGCGAAGCAGTCGGCCGCGGCAGCACCGACACCGGCCGCGGCCGCGTCACCGACGGCGTCGACCTCGAACAACATCTTGGAAGAGCTCGAGCGCGAGGCAGACGAGATGGCGAATGCCGGCATCAGCGACCAGCCGCTCGAAATGCCCATGGCCGAGCTCGAGAGCGCTGTGCCGATGAACAACGTGCCGCTGAGCATGCCGCTCAACATGGGCATGATGAACAACCGCGTGCCCATGACGTACGGCATGAACCTCAACATGATGAACCAGACGGCGTACGTGCACCCGACGCAGCTCCAGTTGCAGCAGCTCCAGCAGATGCAGCTCCAGCAAATCCAACTGCAAAAGCTCCAGCAGATGCAGCAGCTGCAGCACCAAATGCAGCTCAACGCAGCGGCAAACACCCTGCCCAAAGTCGCGACGACAACAACAACAAGCGCGCCGTCGGCGACGACGCCGGGGTTTGCCGTGCCGACGCCGGCCGCGCTCGCGACCGAAGTCACCCCCAAGCAGCGCCGTGAAGAATTCCGGAAGCGGCTCATCCAGCTCAAGCACGCGAGGACGTGCCAGCTGCTGCAGTGCGAAGAAGGGTTCTGCGCCAAGGTCAAGGTGCTCCTTTCGCACGTGTCCAACTGCACAGACGCGCAGTGCACGACGATCGGGTGCAAGTCGACGCGGCAGCTGCTCTCGCACTACCGCAAGTGCCGGGACATGGCGTGCGACGTGTGCTCGGCGATCCGCACGCAGAATCCCGCGAGCCAAGCATATGTGCTTCGGCGGCAGCAAGAGCGGCTGTGCATGCTGCGCCACGCCAGCACGTGTGCGATCATTGGGTGCCCGATGAACTACTGCGCCGACATGAAGGTGCTTTGGAAGCACATTTGCGAGTGCCGGCAGACGCAGTGCACGACCGACCACTGCATTAGCTCCCGCTACGTGCTGAGCCACTTCAAGCAGTGCCCGAAATCGGACTGCGGCGTGTGCGTGCCAGTCCGGAACGCCATCAAGATCATCGACATGACCAAGAACAACCCGACCGAGCTCCAGGCGCTTGCGAACGCCTGCACGAACGACGTCAAGGTGCTCATCCGGCAGATGACGACGACTCCGATCCAGGCGTCGGACGCGCTCGACCCGTCCGAGACGGCCAAGCCCCTTGTGATCCCGTCGGCGTCGCCAGCGCTCCTAAAGAACAACAGCTTGGGCCAGCTGCCCATGCCGACAGCAGCGGCCGCCGCGATGCAGAACAAGCTCAAGCAAACCAAGGCCACGAAAGCCAAGGGACCGTTGCCGGCGGTGCCGCCGACGGCGGCCAAGCCCAAAGCTCCCGTGCCGACCGCCAAACCGCCCGGCGAGGACGCCAAGACTGCCAAGAAGAAGGACCCCGGACTACCAGGCTTGTCGCCCAACGTGCCGCCAGCGCTGACGCCGATGACGGCGCCGGCTCTTGTTGCGTCGCCGGGGCCCGGGAAAGCCAAGGCGCCGGCCAACGAGAAGGACAAGAAGATCCGGCGCAAGGAGCAGGCGCGCATTGCAAAAGAGCGGGTCAAGGCCAAGCAAGACGACCCCAAGCCGCCAGTGTCGACGCTCGTGATCACGCCGTCGGCGGTGCCCGGGTCTGTCGTGTCGAGCACGCCGAGCACGCAAGACATTTCGTACCTTGACTCGATGTCGGAGGCGCAGTTGGACGAGCACATTCGGTCGCTGCGGTTCAACTTTTGCGGGCACATCACGATCGTCGAGCTCAAGAACCGACTGCTGCCACTGCTCACAAGTCTCATGGAGACTGAGAGCGGATGGGCGTTCAACCACCCCGTGGACCCGGTCCAGTGGAACATTCCGGATTACCTGGACGTGATCAAGTGCCCGATGGACCTCGGGACGATCAAGAAGCGCCTCGAGGCCGAGCACTATGTGAGCGTCGACTCGTTTGCGTCGGACGTGCGCTTGACGTTTGAGAATTGCATCGCGTACAACAGCAGCACCAACAAGTTCAACATTGCCGCCAAAGCGCTGCTTGCGCAGTTTGAGACGGACCTCGCGGCGCTCAAGACGACGCTCGAGGACGAGCTCAACAAGCGCTGCGAGCTCCGGCGCGAAGAAATGTGCCAGCTCTGCGGCGGCGACTCGTTCAAGTTTGCGCCGTGCATGCTCTTTTGCTCGGGGCCGTGTGCCGGGCGCATTCGGCGCCATACGCACTATTACAGCGACCCGCGCGGCGAGTACCATTGGTGCTCGGGCTGCTACAAGCAGATGAAGGACGGGCCGCTCGACATGAGCTTGCTCCCGGCGTCGACGAATGCGTCGGGCGAAGAGCCGCTCAAGACCATCCTTCTCAAGGCGCACTTGCTCAAGAAGAAGAACAGCGAGGTCGCTGAGGAGCCGTGGGTCGAGTGCGACAGCTGCAAGTTGTGGTACCATCAGATCTGCGGTCTCTTCAACGAGCGCAACCATGCGATTTCGGGCGAGCAAGAGCCATTTGTGTGTCCGTTCTGCACCAAGAAGCAGCGGCAGCAAGGTGCGCCGACGTCGACCAAGCAGCCGCTCCAAGCGAGTCGGCTCCCGGTGACGCGCATGGCGACGCGGATCGAAAAGCGCGTCGTCGACGCGCTCGCCAAGGCCCAAGAAGAAGAAATGTCGCGGCTCGGGTCACTCGGCAACATTGAGAGCGACGGCAGCAGTGCGCTGCATCCCAAGTCGGAGACGCCGACGCCGTCGTTTGCCATCACGATCCGCGAGGTGCTCTCGGTCGACAAGCAAGTGCAAATGAAACCGCGCATGGCCAAGATGTTTGCGCTCAAAGGGTCGCCCAAGGCAAGCGAGGCGAGTGGGACCAAGCGCAGCAAGAATGCGAGCGAGAGTGCGTCGGCCAAGAAGGCCAAGCTCGACGAGTCCAACAAGGCCAAGAAGGTGGCCAAGAAGACCGACAAGTTTGAGCTGACGTACCGGTCGCGCTGTATTTGCGTCTTCCAGGAGCTCGACGGCGTCGACGTGCTCATCTTTACGTTGTACGTGCAAGAGTATGGCGAGCAGTGCGCTGAGCCCAACCGCGGCCGCGTCTACATCTCGTATCTCGACTCGGTCGCGTACTTTCAACCGAAAAAGTTCCGCGTCCTCATGCACCAGCAAGTGATCCTCGGGTTTTTGGACGACGCCAAGATGCGCGGGTACCACACGGCGCACATTTGGTCGTGCCCGCCGCTCAAAGGCGACGACTACATCTTCTTTTGCAAGCCCGAGAACCAGAAGATCCCCAAGGCCGCGCGGCTGCGGTCGTGGTACTCGAAGCTGCTCCAAGGCGCCAAGAAGGAAGGGCTTGTGTACAACATCTCGAACCTCTACGCCGAGTACTATGTCAAGAAGAAGACTGCGCTCGAGTTGCCGTACTTTGAAGGCGACTACTGGCCGCGGCTCGCCGAAGACCTCATCAAGCAAGTCGAAGACAAGGCGAGTGGCAAGGGCAACGGCAAGACGTCGGGCAAAGCGTCGTGCAAGACGGACGAGGTGGCGCCGTCGGCGTCGCCGCCAACGACATCGTCGACGCCGACCGAGACGCACAGCGACGCGGCAACGACCGCCACCGCGAGTGCGGTCGCCAAGCCCGTCAAGACCAAAAGCGAAGTCAACAACGACCCGATCATGCAAAAGCTCAAGGCGATCCTCGAGCCGCAGAAGGAAGACTTTTTTGTTGTCGACCTGCATCCGCGCTGCCACAAGTGCACCTCGTCGGTGATCAACAAGATGTTTTGGGCGCTCAAGACGCTGGCGCCGCCCGATGCCGTCGACAACGTCATTGAGGGACTGAAGAAGGCCAAGTCGGCGCAACTCAAGTCGTCGATGGTACCCCGGCACTACACGCACTACTACTGCGCGCCGTGCTACGAGAGCTCGAAAACAAGCCTCCTCGCGCGCGTCGAGGCCGCGGCCGCCGGTGCCAAGAAAGCCCAAGAGCTCTTGGCGCTCGTGAGCGCTGCGTCCGACCCCGCTTCGTTCAACTACAACGCGTGTGCCATCGAAGTCCAGGACCTCAAGTTTGAACTCTCGCTTTCGTGTGTCACAAGCTCGCTCCTGCCCGATCAAGAGACTGGCGCCGACCACCCGATGGTCGAGACCGCGCTCGAGCCCGACGAAGATGCGCTCATGCCGTGCGAGATCTTCGACACGCGTGAAGCGTTCCTGATGTACTGCCAGAACAACCACTGCCAGTTTGACCAAGTGCGCCGGTCCAAGCACTCGAGCATGATGGTACTGTACCACCTCTTCAACCAAGGCACGACGGGCTTTACGTTCTCTTGTGCGAAATGCGCGATGACGCTCACAAGCGGCCACCGCTGGAACTGCTCGATCTGCCTCAACTTTAACCTCTGCGACGGCTGCCGCGGCAAGGCCAAGCACGAACACCCGCTCCATGCATTCCACATTGTGTCGATCCCGCAGCCAAAGTACAAGACGTCGGCCGAGACGGACGCGCTCAACGCACTGCCCGCGCCCGCGCCGCTCCAGCAAAAGAAGAAGCAAAAGAAGCAGCCGGCGGCCAAGAAGGGCAAGGGCAGTTTGAAGAAGACGACCAAGACAGAGCCAGTGCCGGCCGCGGTACTGACGCCCGCGCCCGACGCGACACAGGTCGTGCCCAAAGTCGAGCCCGTGGCCGCGCCGGCCGCCACGCCGCCTCCGCAGCAACCGCAGCAACGGATCGTCGACCCGCAGCTGCTCGTGCAGCTCGAGCACGCCAGCTTGTGCCAAGTGGGCGACGCATGCACGTACGTCAACTGCAACCGGATGCGCGCGATGCTCAAGCACGGCGCGACGTGCGAGGCGCGCAAGCTCGGGCCGTGCCAGCTCTGCAAGCGCATCGTCGGGCTCCTCTCGGCTCACGCCAAGCAGTGCACCAAGCCCTTGAACGAGTGCAAGGTGCCCCGCTGCACGGAGATCCGACGCCTCGTGCAGCAGCACCAAATGCGCGCCGCGGCCGCCGACACCAAAAGCGAACCGGCGGCGTCGACCTAGCGTGGATGGCTGTAACTTATTTATCACAATTTGTGGTGTACGTCCATCGATCGGCTCGACTTGGCTTTGCTGATGTACCTTAAGGGCGGACGAAGCCGAGAGCGACGGGTCTCGATACTAGTAGATCACAGAATCGGCTTTGAGCGCACCCACTGTGCGGGGTAGGGCAGGGCTAGGGTAGGCGCCCCCGCGGCGAGGGTTGCAGATGAGCGTTGCCGCACACCACACAGTGCTACACCTATCGTTGTATCTATCTATCGATCGATCGACCAATCTATCTAGTGACGTCGCGTGGGATACTTGCGTCAGAGTTGACAGTCGTATGGCCACTACGTCCAATCTAAGAAGCAACGGGATCGTTTTGCAGCTTGTATAGTGTACTCGTACGAGGATTATATCTAGTACGTGGGAGCCACTAGTACGTGGGAACCACTCATCATGGAAGGTAGAGCGTCGTGAGGCACTTGGCAAAGTCCATGCCGTTGAAGGTCGTGGCAAAGACGTGGGTGTAGGCGCCCATGCGCTTGTACTGGAGCCAGTCGCCGACGCTGCGCTCTCCCATTTTCAAGTTCTTTGAGAGCACGTCGCCGCCGTGGCACGTGTCGCCGTACACGTGACTTACGAACGTCTCACGCTCGTCTTCGTGTTCGAGGGTCGGGTTGAGCTTCCCAAACGGCGCAAAGAAGAAGGAGCCGTGGATGCTCTCGTGCACAAAGTAGTCGATGACGCGACTGGCACTGCGCACGCGCTTGCCGAGAATGCGCAAATGCAGAGTGCACACGGTCTCGGCAAAGAACCGACCGGGCTCAGCGATCACGCGGAGCGTCGGCGTTGGGCCAAAGCTCGTACGCACCGCTTCGTTGATCGCAGCCACGACGCCGGCGTGCAAAGGGGATGCGAACCCCCCACCAATGTTGAGCGTGTCGATACAAAACCCAAACTCGGTGGTCGCCATGCGGATGCAGTCGGCGGCTTGCGCAATGGCTTGGGCGTACGCGGTCGGGTTCATGCAGCCCGACCCGAGGTGGAAGCAGATCCCGCGCACGGGCAGCGCGAGCGCCTTGGCTTCAGCCAAGAGCGATGGCCAGTCGGCGGCGTCGGCACCAAACTTGTCGCCCATGCGAAGCAGCGCGTTGTCGTCACCGCACTTGAGGCGCAGCGAGAGGTTGATGTCGCCAGTTGCATGCGCCTTGATCTTGTGGAGCTCGTCGATGCTGTCAAAGCTCATTTGGGCGACGCCCGCGGCCGTCGCAGTGCGAATGTCAACCTCGCGCTTCATCGGGTTGGCGTACAGAATATCATCAGGCGATGCGCCGAGCGACTGGACGAGCGCGATCTCGGCCGGCGACGCGCAGTCGTACCCAACGCCAGCCGCGTGCAGCGCCGAGACGAGGCGGACGTCCGAGTTGCACTTGACGGCGTAGAAAGGACGGATGCTGGGAAAGGCGGTGCGCCACTCGGCCATGAGGCGTGGCACCTCGGCGAGGTTGAACGTGTAGATGGCAGTCGCGTCCGGCGTCGCCTCGATCGACTCCTGCACGTGCGTCGGAAGCATGGTGGCGCGTCGCGAGCAATTCAATTATGCGACTTTGCCGCCGTGCGCCATGTGACAGGCAAAGTGAACTTGACACGCGCGCACTGACACGCGCACTCATCACGCGCTATACAAATACGCTGTGTAGTTTGAGGACAGAAGTCGGTGAACGCGCGCTCTTGGCATGCGGCGTCTCCACCCGTCTTCGGCGCTGCCCATCTCCAACCATGGTGGCACGGACAAGCGATGCAGCAACCGCCGTGCCGTGTACTGTACATACTGGCTACATAGTTGGAGTGCAAGGTGCGCTAACAAGGTGCTGTGCAAGATACTGCAAGAGTTGGCTTCAAGCCGCGCGGCGCTGCAAAGAGGGTCGTACAAGCTGCCACGTTGCTCTGTCTTTGGGCCCAGCGACATAGACACACGCTTACTGCGGCCTCCTGCTTCTTGTACACAGTACATCTCGCCATATGAAGCTCACATCGACGTTAACCGGGAGAGACTTGCTCGAGAGCCTCCAGTGGTTCTACGAGCAGTCGCCACCGACAACCGGCTCCACTTCGCCGATCGTTGCGAGCCCCATTCGACAACGACGGGGAAGTACGGTGACCCAAGACCAGCTGCACGCGGTGCAGCTCAAGATCGAAGCGCACCAAGAGCGTACGCGCGACGCTGGCGTCCTCAACACAATCGCATGGCTGCGCGCCCACGACGACGAACAGACCGCGCCAAAAGCCACGGGTTTTCTTGCGTCCGTGCTGCAGTTTTTGCATGTCACTGACGACCCGGTCCTTGCCACGGACTCGAGTAGTACCAAGACTAGCGACAAGCCGTCTTGGCGTCTGCCGCGGCACTGGGCCGAGCACTCGCTCCGCGTACAGTGGAACGAGCTCGGATACCGGCTCCTCAACGCTCCGTTCTATGTCGACATGATGCAGGCGCGCAAGATCATCCTCTCGGGCGAGCTCCTGTATGCCACCGACGACGAGTGCAAGGCGTTTGCGAGTTGGCTCGACGGGTTCTTCGTGCACATTGAACTCCTCCAGCAGCTCAAGCAGCGCTTTCTGCGTCTCAAGAGCGCTCTCTGCGGCCGACAGCTCACCGTCTCGACCCAATATGGTCGCGCCAACTCGCTCTACAACGAGTCGATTCGGTTCATGCACGCCAAGCCGATCGCGCTCTACGGCGAGAAGGTCCTCGAGTTTCTCAACGAGCTGGAGATGACGCTTTGGGACGAAGAAGAGGCAATCGCCGACGTCAACCGACACATCACCAACGCTGACGACGAGCGACACGCGGTCGCTTGCCTCTTTGCCGAAGTGAATGCGACCGAGCCCGCCGGCGTCGTCGTTGCCAAGCTCGTGGCGTGGATGCCCCAGGCGCTCGACGCCAGCGATGTCCGCGCCTTTGTGCAGCTGTTTGGCGACGACGTGCAAAGCTGCATCTCAGGCATCTGGCTCCGTGCGTACGCCCAGCACCTGCACCTCCTTGAAGCCTTTGAGGTCGACTTGAGTGCCACCACAGCCTACTCGCGGTCCCGCGTCGATGTATCACCGTTGCCTTCCACTAGCTACTAGTCTGTACGAAACCACTATCTATTCACTGGCCTCCCAATAAGTTCTTACGCTTTCTTGGTTTAAATGACGTGGCAGCCTCTGCGCGTAACGATCTTCCACGTTGCACTTGTCTTGGTCGATGACTCATGGAAGGTACGTTTCGCCAAAATCATCGACCTCGTCATGTGGTTGGTCCCACGACCACGGCTCGTCCTGCCGCGTGTTGTACGTTGTCGGCGGCCACTTGTATGGTAGCGGACAGCGGAGACCCGATGCGCGGTCGTCGTCGTTGTCGGTAGATGTCATGCCCGACCACACGAGGCGTTGGGACGGTGTCGGCAGAAACAGCACGCCGAGCTCATACGACCGGATCATAAACTGGGACTTTTGCTTTTGGTAGCTGCCCCACGCCGCTTGGCTTAGATTCGCGCTCGTCAGCAGCGCAAAGTCCAAGGTGCCGTCGACGCCGATGCGCGCAAACGTCTAGTACTCCTTCAGACAACTTGTCCAAAGATGTGTGTACCTTGATATGCGGCATGGCGCGTGTGCGCTGGAGCGACGCGGGTGGGTCCCACGTGCGAAGGTACCGGTGCAAGAACGGTTTGAGGTTCTTTAGAGGACAGGGCAGAGACCGGCCGGCCGCATAGCCTTCGATCGAGCTTCGCTACGAGCCGACAAGCTCGACGCAGCGCACGAGAGAAGGTCGTACCACTGCGGCGACAGACGGCCAGATCATGTGAAAGCCCCGTGGAGCTGGCAACGGGGACGGCGGCGCAAGCGAAAAACTGGCCAGAAAGTCCCGCAGCCACGCTTCCGTAAGGGACCCGAGGCTGGAAAACTAGGCGCGTCGTCGGGACCACATGGAACGGTGAGATCGAACCTGGGCCACGATGGGCTGGGACGGCGCGACGGCGACACCGTGGTCTTGAAGCACCCTAGATGCATCCACGTGTGAGCGACTTCCATTCGCCATCCGAGACGAGAATGTACTTGCGCAGGCGAAGATGGCCATATCGTGCCATATCTACCATCCAACGCTTTGTAAACCAAGTGACCAACAAGGACGTTGGTACCATCCGGTGTCATGTAGACGCCTGGCACCGATGCAATGAGAGTCACCGTGGCAGCGCCAAAGTCGTACAGCGATAGCTTGGCGGCCGCCATCGTCGCCACGGACGGGTGCAGCGCCGAGAGGTACTGCGTCAGCTCCTTCTCAAAGTCCGTAGTGGGTTCCGTGGCGCTTGTCGAGCGCAGTGGAAAGTCTTGGTACCAAACGCCTTGCGTTTTGGCATCCCAGTCGGACGCAACGAAGTTGGCCGTGAAGATCGCAACACGAACAGACGCCGCGTAAAAAAGCACCTGGCATCCTCAGTCCACTCACACACGGTCATCTGTACCATCATCTTGGTGTGGTGGGTGCCGTATGGAATCGGAAGCGGCGGCGCGAGTACTCGAATGTTGGCGCACGCTGCACAGGCAGCGCGCATGCTACACAGCAGCAGCCTCAGACACGACACCCGATACAGCATAGCTACGTGGTCTGGTCGCTGCCATGACACAGCAGGACGGGCACGGACGTTAGCTGCGGCGACTGCTCAAGGAGCCATGGCACATCTACCTTGTAGTTGGTCAAGATGGCGTGCGTAAAGGCGCCGGCGAGCAGGTCGCGCAGTCCGATGCAGTCGTCTACGCCGCGCATGGCTTCAAGCCGCGAGACTGCGGTGGGCGTACCGTTGGCGCCGCGTGCAGGGCTTGCGAGCGACGTCAAGCGGAACGCCATCGGCATCGGCGTCGGCTTGGAGCGCTTCACGGCCCGCTCGTCCATACGTCCTCGGAAACTCGATTTTTCAGATTTTAGATTGCACTTTTTACGGTTACGTGGCGCCAGTCCGGTTCCGAATCCCCATCGTAAGTTAAGCCAAGCAAACACCGCGGTTGTAGACAAAGTGTTTGCTGCCAATGAGCTTGCGCAGCGACGTCGTCGATGCGGGCGTCGTCACCGCGGTGAATTCGTTGCCCGTGATCGTACCCTTGGGTGACGCGGGACGACGGCAGCCCAGAAGGATCGGTACCAAGGCGTACGTCGACACGACGAGCGTGAGTGGCGCCGTCTTAAGAAGCTTGAGCTTGGCAAAGCACTTGTCACCTTCTTTCCCGCTCGGTGTGGGGCACACATTGAGCGCGACCTCGACACGGCTGGTGGTGCGCTCGACGATCGTAGCAAAACCGAGGACCGCCTGCGCACTCGGCTTGCAAAAGACTTTGTTGCCGATGCTGATCGCAGACTCTTCGCCCAGCGGAAGACTTGTGAGCAGCCGCGGAAGGCGTGTCGCTGAGAGCAGTGCATTGCGCTGAGTCCATGCGATGTCGAGAGTCCACTACGTCGACGCGTCACATTCCATCCTACAGGTTGGTCTACTTGTACGTACTTGACGGTCGTAGAGGTATCGGCAACTCATGGCTGACAGAATAGAAAAGCCCAAGCAGCTCATCAACGGATAGACGAGCCATGGAAGCAGGAGCGACCCGATGCAGGCGACGCTTGCTGTGTTGTATGCACCGGCCGGTCGGTCGACGCCGTTGATGGTGAGCGGAAGGCTCCACGCCCCAGCGTAAAACGCGTTGCTGACATTTTCAAACTGTCCGTGGGTGCAGTAGACAATGCTTCCAATGCTACTATAAACAAACAGTCGGCTCGAAAACGGCAAGAGGCGCGACGACGGCAATGGCAAGCGCTGCAGCATGACCACGCAGCAGAGCGCCACATAGACGGCGAAGGTAGCGAGCAGCACAATCGAGA